GTTCACAACACCCGTGACCTCAGTCATAGCAACCCACAAGATTCGTCAAAAGAAAAAGGTTCCTATATGGCAACATCGCCCTCACTGGCTCTAAGGACTAAATCGTCCATAATCGCCTCGACTGACGCGCAACCCCATCACCTACCTAATAACATAAGATAAACAACTTATACTCTCTAATCCACCCTCGGATCATGCCTTAAACAGTTTTGCTTATTGGCACTAAAACATCACACCATAACACCTTTATTACCATTCTTCCTGAATGACAACTCGAACCTCTCCTCCTACCGGATCAACAAGCTATCACCAAACGATTCTTCCTCAAACATCCTTAGGATAACACCATCAAAACAAGAAAGTATGCATTACCCTCAATACTCCCCATAACGACCACTACTACCACTAGAAAAGAACCTCTATACGGCAATGCCATGCCGACAAATCTCAAAAAGGAAAAATGAGCACTGAAACCAAAGTGCTTAATACCTAACTGTCTCTTCAAAACCATCTACAACACAATCAGTCACCAACACTTAACCGGTTACTCAAACTGCTCTTCCCAAGACAATCTACGCGCCTAGTCAAAATAACTTCACGCCCTAAGTTCAACATCAATACCTCTCCTCTTCACCATTCCTCAGAATACCCTTGGCCCCGACAAAAATCAAATGGGGCTACTAGCTAAACCTACGAGATCACTCTCTTCCCAAACATTCAAATCAACTGTCTATCTCTTTGGATCCTTAAACAACAAGTACTACCTCCGATACTCCAGACGCAATTTAAAATACAACGCTAATCCACAGCTTTCAATTTCTAAAACACAATCCATTTGATAACACAGTACCCATCATCTATCACTTCATTCACAAACGACCAAGCACTCCAATGACCATACCTACCTGCCTTACTGTGCAATCCCGCATTACACCGCCAAAACTGACCACTATACACCACTTCGAGACTCTCTCGACAACCGTGCCAACCTATTGCCCCGCTTATCAACTGAGCCATGCAATCAACTTTTCGAGAGTCAATTACTTGCAACACACTCTTGTAGCTTCCCAAAATGGGAATCCCTCTCGACTAATAGTCTCTAAAACAGACTCTTACAAAACCATGAAATGAACTACATCTAGCAGTCGGTCACCCAGCACTGGCATGACTCCAGTCAATGCCTACGTCACCCTAGACTTACAGAGCCCAACTAGTCCCCTCAATAATCATAACCAACACGCTTCCTTGGACTGTACCAGAATATCCAAAATACACGTCTACAACCCATAGACTACACTCGCGACTCTAGCAACTGCTATCACACCCACCACAAATCGGCTCGAAGAGAATCTCCGTACCAAACTGTGGCCTAAGTCACGAACACTAACCTCTAAAAGTCATACATACCTCGCGAAAACCTCACATCGTGCACTTGACATCCACAGTCACCAAAACCCGTACGCTAATACATGAAACCCATGCACCTCACCCTGGACACCTAACTATGCAACACACAATCAATCTAAGGTCATACCCCGAGCACCACACCACATATAAAACAACACGAAAACATAAACAACCACGCACCGAATAGCCCAATCCAAGAGCTAAAGACTTATGTCATTTGTTTGATAAGAACTAGTGCCCAACAATCCTAGAGCAACTGAGTTCCTCGTCTACTCAGGTCAAAACTCACACAACCATCTACGTCGCAGCAAGTGCTCAACCACACTAGCAACCATCCCATACTCAATCGCATACTCCTATACATGCATATATATATATATATATATATATATAACCGGAACATAAACCTTGACACAACCGTATCCCATCACATCCATTTAAACAACGTGTCCATTAAATCATTCTATGAATATAAACATCCCGTTCATCCTCATCATGCTTCCATATAATACACACTTGCACAAATCGTGCTCGACTGTCCATTACATTACGATGCACAACATACTTGTCATAATCCATACTCACTACTTGTCATCTTATCTTATAAGACATAACAACATAAACCGTGCCTACCACTTGCTATTACCGCTTATATCATACTTGTCATCTTATTATGTATAACATGCTTTCAAATTACATACACCTTTCATTTACATGGGTAGGCCACATAACTATTCTGTAGTCATGGCCATGTAACACATAGGAAGTAAGCATGTCCTTTAAAATCATAACGCGTAAACAAGTAGCAAGTAGGCATGCTCCTTAATATAGTAAACACGTAAAAACAAAACATGCAATTAATGCAGGTTAACTTTTCACCCCATTTAGGTAAGCCAGTACCCGTCGTCCGAAAGGTATTCGAACCTAAAGCTCTGATACCAAATTTGTATCGACCCGAACTTGGAAGTCCGAATCGCTAACCGAGTCCTTACCTGAACCCGAGGTCATCTAAGGGCATTACCGTTCTTTCCTATGTCAATGCATAACCTGTACCTCATCCTAAGGTAACAACATAGTTCAAACATGTTTTCAATGGCCAATACAAAATAATCTAAGTTACTTCAATTTGCATCAAATGGTTCAGAGTTGTAGATTACAAGCAACCACTTCAAGGTTATACATATCATACAATGCTTTACAAAAATGGAATCCTAATTATAGAGACAACAAAAAAATAGCCCTCAAGTCCAACTATGTCTGTGATGGAACGTCGTCCACCACTTCCTTCCCAAGACCTGAAATTATTAATATAAGGGGTGAGCACAGCTACTTAGTAGGAAGTGCCTAAGACATACCTCTTAATGACCCCGTGAATCCACACAAAGCATAGAGTAAGATATACGGGATCATGTCATTTAGGGGAAACACAAAAACAGCTACGACAACAATATATAGGTCATCCAACCATATATGCACAATGTATGCCAATGAAGTGCAATGATATGCCAATGTCGCTCCCCATTTCAAAACATTTCCGTTTTACCATTCCAAACCGTTAATGCAACCCGACCCATAGCAGCTCTATGGCGTCACGAGAGAAGGGTTGGCTAGCTATCCCCGACCACATGGCATTTCCAAGGCGTTGTTTCGGGCTTAGGTAGCTCAACCATGCTAAGGTCTCTCCGTAGTTCCCTTTAGATCACATTAACACTACGGACCACTAGGCAGCTCCTAGGCGCCCGGGTTTTCGCAAACCATTTTTCAAAACATTTTCACAAAATGATTTTTCATTTCTTTTCAAAACAATTTTCCCTTTTTCTTGCTCAATGCAATGCATGAATGCTTCATGCTTTCAATATCATGCCAATAATAATTATTTTTTATTTTTTTTATTTTTTATACAGTTCATTCAAATTCAACAACATTGCATGCTTATGAGAAGCTCACAAGAAAATATATCATGTTTTGACATAATAAAAATTCAGCATTCTAAACATACAAGACAAGCAATAATTTTAATTTAGCATGCTTCATCACAATTGGACAGCTAAAACATAGTAATTCACTTTGTAAACAAAACATAGAAATTATATGTATACAACATAAGACGCAAATAATTCCAACACAACCAAGACATGTTTATATAATCAATTTGAGAAAATAACTCACAAAACTCAAAGAAATGGGTATTAGAACACCCTACCTCAATTTAGGGAAAAAGCCCCAAATCAGCCCAAGAATTTGAAGTCTCAAAGTGGTCCAATCGGGAATTGGCTCCGATCAAATCGTAGCCCTCGCCGAGCTTGTCAACTTTGCTATTGAAGGCAAAGTTGAAATCTCTCAAGAGGATGATGAAATCAAGCTTTGAAGTGACAAAGAAAAGAAAAAAGAAAAAGAAAAGAGAAAAAGAAAAGAGAAGCTGTAGAGAGGGAAGAAGAAACTGGTGCACGAAATGAAGAAAAGGAGTGGTCAGATAATGACCTTATTCTAATGACCAAATGTAATGGTAGGCCACCGAAACAAAATATCTAATTTGTCACTTTATGGACATATACACATACACTTATGCTTCAACACTTAATAACTACATAACCACATAAGAATGCATCAAATAATAATGTATGAAATGCAATGATCCCGAAAAATAATCCCCGTGCTTAACAACTCTGGTAGCAGGTCTCGCCTAGGACCTTCCGGCCTGAAAAATTAAAAAATGCCAAAATGGCAAACGACGCATTTCTAAGAGTTCCGAACTTAAAGAAATGCCCCAATCAACTCTCGGGACTCACCCGGCACACCTCGTGGTGTCCGGCACGCAAAACGAGGCGATTAAAATAAAAATCCGAAAAATTGAAAAAATTTTCCCGAAAATTAGAAAATAGAAAAATTGAGAAACATTACAGATTAGAAACCGTCAAATTTTGAACTAACATAAATTAATAGTTTGTATATATTTATATAAAGACTGTCCTATAGCTAGTTTTAAAATTAAAATTTCTCATGATTTTGTAAGGTTTTAGTCATGTGCATTGAGCATATCCATTTTACTAGTATTTATAAAAGGGGGATCTCAAACACAAATTTTTTCTCTCCATGGTTTCTTTATGTCACTTGGAACTCAATTGTAATTCCTAATACTAAATCATTCAACACTTGAATTTCTAGACCTACATTCGGATAAAGTTCAATTTTGTTTATTCTATCCGAAAGTATGCTATTCTCCTGTCTTTTGAAAAGTGTCAAATAGTACTTTCAAACCTGAAAGGCATATAACAATTCTTTTCAGCTCTTCAGGACAAGGTGTTCAATATTTGGGAAAACCAGAGGTACTTTTGTTCTTTGTAATCAATGTACTTTCCAAAGTAAGATAGCTAGTGTTTGAACCAGGTCAACATACCTACCTAAAACCTAATACATAGGTGTCAATACACTTAGATCTATTGTTCCATCCGTTACTCTGAACCATCCATTTGTAATCAATTTGTGTATGTTTAGTTCCAAAAACAAAATTTAACTATCGCAACATCTATTAATTTTCTGTCTCATTATGATTTATTCCAACTCACCATATAGGCAACTTTCTAACTTTACAGGCATGAGGCAAGATTTATCCAACAAATTATTGAAGATATTTTCAGCAAACTGAACCATTTAATTCCAATTGTTGCTGATGATCTGATTGGGATAGAGTCCAGTGTGGAGGAAGTGAAATCATTGTTACATATGGAGTTGAATGATGTTCGCTCTGTAGGTCTATGGGGAATGGGGGGCATAGGAAAGACGACTATTGCCCAAGCTGTTTTTGATCGGATTTCCCAACAGTTTGACGGTAGATGCTTTCTTGCAAATGTTAGAGAAATCTCAAAAAAGAAAGGTTTGGAAGCTTTACAGAAACGACTACTTTCAGATATCTTATATCAAAGTAATATAAAGATTACATCTGTTGGTGGAGAACTAAATATGATAAAGAACATGCTGTGTCGCAGACGAGTTCTTCTTGTTGTTGATGATGTGGATCAACTAGAACAACTACAAGTGTTCGCAAAGGTTGATTGGTTTGGTTCTGGGAGTAGAATCATCATAACTACAAGAGATGAACATCTGCTTACCACTCATGGAGTGACTAAAATATACAATGTGAAGGCATTGGAAAGTGGTGAAGCTCTTCAGCTCCTTTCTTGGAAAGCTTTTAATCAAAGATTTCCTTCTGAAGGTTATTTGGAGCTCTCAAACCAGGTAGTAGATTATGCCCGTGGGCTTCCATTAGCCCTTATAATTTTGGGTTCTTTTCTATATGGTAGAACAACTCATGAATGGAAAAGCACATTGAGTAAGCTGCTCACAATTCCTAACAAAGAAATTATTCAAGTGCTTAAAATCAGTTTCGACGGACTAGATGAAATGCAGAAGGAAATTTTCCTTGATATTGCATGTTTCTACAAAGGGGAAGACAAGAGTTATGTAGAAAGAATACTCGAGAGTTGCGGCTTCTTCCCAGGGATTGAAATGCCTGTTCTTATAGAAAAGTCTCTCATAAATGTTTCGGAAAATAGGCTTTGTATGCATGATTTGATACAAAAAATGGGTTGGTATATTGTTGATCAAGAATCTCCTGAGGAACCTGGAAAACGTAGCAGGTTGTGGCGCCCTATGGATATTCGTTTAGTGTTGGCAGGAAATACGGTAAGATGATGGTTTGTGAAAAAAAAAAAAAAGCAGTTCTTTTATACTAAATTTTATTGAAGAAGCCACAGTTTTATTATCCGAAGAGACATTTCATATTATATTGTGTTGTTTACTTATGGTTTGTGTTACTGGTTGTTAGGGGGCAGAAAAAGTTAAAGGCATAGTCTTGAAACTCTTTGAACTGGAAGATATTGACTGCAGTACGGAAGCCTTCACAAAGATGACCAAATTAAGGGTGCTCATATTGCACAATGTGTTGTTTTCTCATGGTCCTGCACATCTTTCAAATGAGTTGAGGTGGCTTGATTGGCATGCATACCCTTCAAGCTATCTGCCAGCAAGTTTTCGGGCAGAGAATCTTGTTGAACTCAAAATGTGTTATAGCCGCATTGTAGGACTTTGGAAGGAAATAAAGGTATGATCAGTAGTATGTATTATAACTTTATTGAATACTGTCATGTTCGTGAGAGTCAGTTATTCTAATATTTTCCATTTCTTACAACAGCCTCTACCCAAGTTGGAAGTCATCAACCTCAGTCACTCCCATCGGCTATCCAGGACCCTAGACTTCACAGACGTTCCAAAGCTGACGAAACTGGATTTTGAGGACTGTATTAGTTTGGAAGAGGTTCACCCATCCCTCGGAGCTCTCAAGAGGCTTGTTTTATTAAATTTGAGAGACTGCGCAAATCTTAAGAAATTTCCAAGCAATATTCACTCGATATATCTCGAGACTTTTATTCTATCAGGTTGCTTGAAATTAAAAGAGTTTCCAAAATTTGTGGGGGATATGGTATGTTTATCAGAACTTTATTTGGATAGGAGTGCCATAAAAGAATTGCCTTCGTCATCAATTGAACATCTCACTAGCCTTACTTCGATGGATTTGAGTGAATGCAAAAACCTTTCAAGTCTTCCGGAAACCATTTGTGGGTTGAGCTGTCTGAAAACTCTCGAACTCTCTGGCTGCTCAAAACTTAAGGAATTGCCAGAAGGACTGGGAAATTTAAAATGTTTAGTGGAGCTTCGTGCAAATAAAACTGGTATCAAACGACTACCATCCTCCATTACTCTTTTGAAAGAGCTCAAAGTCTTATCCCTTAGTGGATGCAGGGGAACAATGTTGACTCAGTCACCCTTTTGGTTTTTACCAAGGAAACGTGAAGATTCTCTGTGTTTGGTGCTTCCTTCTTTAGCAGGTCTATATTCCTTAACAAAACTTGATCTTAGTGATTGCAATCTGTCTGAAGGAGGGATCCCCAGCGACCTTGGCAGCTTATCCTCTTTGATAGAGTTGAATTTAAGCAGAAACAATTTTGTTAGTTTACCAGCAAGCATCTCCCAACTTTCTCGACTTCTAAGGCTTCATGTAGAAGGCTGCAAGAGGCTAAAAGCATTACCAGAGTTTCCATCAAGTCTTTCTAAATTATTTGCAAAGGATTGCCAATCATTAATAAGCGTTGGAGATCTGTATACAAAGTATGATAAATCACTGTGCTTCGCTACATTCGGAAATTGCTCTAAGCTGTTACAGAATAAAGGGAGTGAAAAGGGGGTTGATATGTTGCTGATATATGCGCGGCAATTTGCGATTGAGGTAACTCTCTCTCTGCCCCTCTTTCTATATATGTGTGTGTGTATATATATATATATATATAATTTATATATATGAATGAATGAATGACATGTTTTCTTGGTGCAGAGAATGCCTCATATGGCGTCTGGTTTGAATATTATTTTGCCGGGAAGAGAGATTCCAGAGTGGTTCGGACATAGGTCTTGGAATATTAAAGCATCTGTGCAACTGCCTCCAGATTGGTATAAGGAGAGAATTTTGGGGATTGCCGTGTGTGTTTTTATTGACTTCCCTACTGAATGTGATTTTGTTCGTATCAAGCTCCAGTTCATAAACCATGAAAATAAATCATATCTTAGTGCCTTGAAACGTTGTGCGACCCCAGCTACAAACTTTGATTTTGGACATGTGTGGCTGACATTTTTTTCAAATCGTGACATTTCGCTTCCTCCCCGTAAGAATCTAAATGAATTTGGCAAATTTGAGGTTGTCCAATATGGGCTTACTTCATTAGATCCACCTGAGATGGGGCCAGAAAGGGAGTGGGGAGTGCGTCTAGTGTACGAGAAAGATGTGATAAATTGGAAGGATGATGGGTTTGATGAATTAAATGGAAGTGCTTGCTCTCATGGTGAAAGCTATAACTTTTCTAATTACTTTTTTCTCCGGAATGAGATCACGCTATATAGAGCACAATGTAAGGGAAGTGCCTGCTCTGACTCTCATGAAGCACAAGGCAATGGAAGTGACTGCTCGGACTCTGATGGTGATGATGAAGCACTGGCCGGTGGAAATGTCTGCTGTGTCTCTTGACTCTGATGATGACTATGATGAGGATGAAGCACTAGCCAGTGGAAGTGGCTGCTCTCAATCTGATGGTGACTATGACAACGATGAAGCACAAGGCAACGGAAGTGTCTGCTCTGACTCTGACAATGATTATGATCACGATGAAGCACTAGCCAGTGGAAGTGGCTGCTCACACTATGACGATGATGACTATGACCACAAAGATGAAGCACAAGACAATGGAAGTGTCTGCTCTGACTCTGATTCTGATTCTGATGATGATGATGAAAGCCCACACGCTAGCAGAGATGAACTTTTTTATGTATTTCTTTGACTGGCTTCTTCTGATGTGAGTTTTTATTTTATTTTATTTTTTTTAATTTATAAAAGTTGATTCCGGATGACATGTTTTTCAAATAGTCAAATTTGGCTTCCTCGGTAAGAATCTAAATGAATTATGCAAATTTGAGGTTTACCAAGATGGCGGATACAAGGCAAGGTAGTGGGGAGTCCGTCTAGAGTACGAGAAAGATGTGATTAGTTGGAAGCATGGGTTTGATGAATTAAATGGAAGTGCCCCACCAAGTTATCACGGTTCTGATTACTATAGCCCCCAGCTACGATCTCGCTATATAGAGCACAATGCAATGGAAGTGGCTGCTCTCACTCTAATGACGCTAGCAGAGATGAATTCAGGGGGTTGATCTATGAGGAGGCAAGTTGTTGCAATGGATGTGGCGTTGAACAGGTAGGGGAGAACTCTTTTTGGGTTTGTTGGTTGACTTTTTGGGTTTTGATTTGCTGCCATTTATGTGGGTTTTAAGGTGATTAGTGATTGATGGTTTGAGTGATTAATTTTTGGGTTTGGATTTGGATTTGCTGCCATGGATTTGGGTTTTTAGGTGATTAATGATTAATTGTTTGAATGATTATTTTTGGTTTTCAATTTGGATTTGCTGCCATGGATGTGGACTTTTTTGTGATTTGATAAGCGCTGAATATTGCTCTTAAACGTGCATATGTTAATGTCTTAATAATTGTTATATTTCGGTTCTTATGTTTGTTTTTATTTATTTGTGTTTTTGTAATTAGGCCGCCTCAAATATTTATAAGATAACTTTTTTTTTTTCCTCCTTTATCTCTCCACCTTGTTCCTGGGATTTTTACTAATACATGGGCTTAAGGCTCAAATACTATCATAAGATGAAGTCAACTTCTTAATTTATCAAGAAAATGAGGAGACTATACAACTTTTTTCTTACAAATGAAAAAACTATTCAATTATTTTTTCTAAAATGGATTATTTTCTACTTTAGACCACACAACAATTTATATTGTTACTTTGACCCAACAAAATATGTTATTATATCATAAAAGCTTTAAAACATAGAATAAGCTTACCGAAAGATCCTTGAACAAACTATTTAATATTTTTTTAAAAATTATTTAATATTTTATTTATACTTTTAAATTAAGATGGATTAATATGGACTTATAGACTTCTTTAGACAAAAGATCTTATATATAAATTAAATTTAACGAAATAGTATAAGTTTTGATACCAAAATTAAGTAGGATCCGACCGGATAGAAGCATGCAAAATTACATAGAATATATTTAACAATTAAATCACAGAAATGATTGTCAAACCTGATAACTCTCTGATAATGTCTTGTAGAAACGCTTAAACACCGACAAAGAACGAACCAGCAAGCCAACAGTTCGAGTCAACTCACAGAAGAAATTGCTAAATTAAAACTAAGGCTACTTGTATTGGTTGGATTCAATAAAATTCTAGGATTTACATTGTCTGGCTAAATAAAATCTATATATTTGATCTTTTTGTCGACAGAAGTCTTTTGTCCGAAGGTACTACAAATACTAAATAAGGAAAAGAAATTTATTAAACAAGAGCAAATTAGATGATTTATTTTATGGAAAATATATACATGGATACACACTGTTTATACATGGGTACACTCTCACACTATATTTTACAAAGGAAATATACTGAAAGAAGTCACAAAAGAAAACACACTGGAAACTGAAGTTGGGATGTTTGATGGTTCCAGACTTGATGGCTCTAAAACTCGATGATCCTTGCTTAAGCAGAGAGGCTCCTTTTATAGGGAAAAAGGAGGAAATGAATCGTCGGTTGAGATTGCAGATGCTGCATATACGACTGAGATTAAAGATGCTTTAGGGATAAGCTAGAATTATTGCTGAACTGTAGTTGTCAGAGTCTTATCAGCTTTAACTGTTGAGAATCTACTTTCGGTGGATTTGCTTTTATATTTACACTGTTGAGTTTACTTTTCTTAGATGCTGAGGCTGCCTTTATCTATAAACTGTAAACTGCATATTGGACAAATTTTTGTCAATCGTGCTATCTGGTGGACTGTCATCACTGTGCATGCAGGCCAAATATGCATCGGTGCTGTCTGGTGAGCTAGTCTCTTCATTTCTGTAGGCTAGTTCAAATTGTTCCAACAACATCTTTTCTTCATTTATTATTTCTTTAACTTCTGGAAAGATCTCAATCTTTGGAGGAGACTTAATGACATGGGGAATTCTTGCTTTGACAAAAATTTCCATGTTGATATTACAATTGTATAGTCTGAAACCAGGATTGTAACTTGGGTTAACTTGACGATAAGCTTTATAGTACACCAAATGGTTGAAGGTAGTTGGTTCTATCTCATTACGAAAGTTATTTGCAAAATCAACATGTCGTGTTAGAACATTGACTTCAGTTGGATCAGAATGAATGTAAATTTGATGATGTCCCAAAATAATAGTTCCATCTTTTACCCATTCTGGAGGAGTACTATGGATTTGAAGGAGAATTGGACATTCTGGCATAAAATTTTGAGTTAATTTCTGTTCGAAGGCAATGGCTTGATTTAGACGGTTGGGAAAATTACATCAAGAATTTAGGTATTCTAAAGGCGTGTCTTTTGGTATGGTGATACTGTAGATCATTCCTAATTCTAATAGCGTACTTAGATAACAAATGGTTATTTTTGTAGAGAAAAGGGTTTTCTTGGTTATTTCAAAAGGAATAAAGAAAATAGGATCGACATCTAACAAGATAATGGCCATAGGTGTAAGGTTATCTGTTTGCATAAATCGTAGGAAAAAATAGTTATAGCGGGTTCCTTTGGGTGGACTGTTGTTTTTGAGGTGGTTTTGGATATCAACCCATTCTTTGAAACCATCAGACTTAGCTTCTTCAAGGTTAAGGTCCTTGAGATCATCAGGGAAGAGGAGCTCAACTTGTTGTCTTAGGATTTCTCTGTAGGTTGGAGAAAAAATGGGTAGAAGCTTGGCATACTTGGTTTGTACCTGCAAAAATCGAACTTTCTGAAAATTTTCGTCTTCATTAGTCCTTTGCTCAGAAATGGTTAGTTCTGTGGGGTTTGCTGTCGTTTTTTGATAAGCTAAATTCAGCTTTTTATAATGAGATATAAGAGTCTCGTGTTCCTTCTGTAAATTCTGATATGCCATATTAGATGATACAAAATATTCACTTAAGGTATTTAGATTTCTGACGAGTGTTTTATCGGGGTTGTTTCTAGAAACCAAATATTATATAAAATAAGTTTTTGATCTGGAAAAAGATTATATCTAGCGCGGAACTGTTGAGCTGGGTTTTAGATAATCAAAAGAAGATTAGAAGTGCCTAGTATAAGGCTATAACTGTTGCTGCTCTTTGTTTCCATACCTGCAAAATTTAACAATCAATTAGTAAACGGGATAAAATATCTGCTAAATAATTATCTTTTCCTTTGACATGTTCAAATATGGGTTTAAAGCCTCTTCCAGTAATACAGTCAATAAAGGAAATCCATCTCTTTGCAGACATCCGTTGTGCTTTGCTTTGTTGGCAAACTTAACTATGTTATCACAATATGTTCTTAAAAGAAATTCTTTATTAAGGAATATCTGAAATTTTTCAATAGAGTTTGTGACTCCTAAAATTTCTAGGTCCGTTGATGGTAAAATAGATTGTGCTTTATTAAAGGTTCCACTAGCATGACTACAAATTTGTTCTTCATCTCGAGAAGATTCCTTTGTAGGTTTTTGAAGAGGTAAACCTGCCCATCCTTGACTGATGCACCTGTCTGGATTATTTTATAACTATTTTCAAGTGGGAGTTGTAAAGGCTCTAGCTGAGTGACTAAAGATTTAATTTTCTTAACTAACTCTATATCTTGAGTATTAAAATATTTTTGTCCATGCTTTCCTAGTTTTAAGTATAATGGTCCTACTAATTGTTCTAATTTAGGAATGAAATTGCGACCATAATTTAATAATCCTAAAAATGCTTGTACTAATTTGCTTTCTTCTAATTTATCTGGAAAGTCTAAAATCTTCTTAACAATACGTGATTGTAATTCGACTTTTTCATCCTTTATATATAAACCTAAAAATTCAATGTCTTGTTTTTCTAATATTATCTTTTTACTACTTAAAATGAGTCCTTGTGTTATAAATTCGTTGAATATAAGTTCAAGATGTTTTCTATGCTCTTCTTTTGTTTGACTGAACACTAATATGTCGTCTATGTAAACACAACAGAACTTTGAATGTTTATTGAATATAGTATCCATTTTTCGCTAGAACTCTTGTGGTGCATTTTTTAATCCAAAAGGCATAACAAACCACTCATAATGTCCTTCAGGACATGTAAAAGTAGTCCATTCAATATATTCGTCAGCCATACGAATTTGCCAAAAACCAGATTTATAGTCAAATTTAGAAAACCATTTTCTATCTTGTATTCGATTTATTAAGACATCTTTATTAGGAATTTTATAACTATCATCATAAGTATTATCATTTAATCTTTTATAATTGATAACCATACGAGCTTTTCCTCGTTTTATTTCAGCATTATTTCGAACCATAAAAGTTGGACTCCTATGTCTACTATTACTTTTAGTGATAAAAGTTATTTAATTTGTTTTTGGAATTCTTCCTGATCATCTAAGGTATGAGGACTATCTTGTGTTTTTATGGTTATGAATGGGTTTATTATATTTAATTTGGCCTCAATTTCATTTTTGTAACAGTGTTTCTGAGGATCTTCGCCTAGAATCTCAGTAGTTTCAGCTAATCGTATAAGATTATCAATATTTAATTTAGGATTTTTTTAATATAGCTTTATTATTAAGAAAAATCTTTGGTTCATCTAAGTGGCTAAGGAACATTAACGCTTCAAAAACATCTTCTAAAAATTCAGTGACATCAAATAGATTTTCTTTTGTGGTTTCGTCTGTCGTAGGTAAAGTATTGACATAAGTAATAGCTCCGTTTTCTTTCTGTGGAATACAAGGAGGGTTGGATGGAATAAATGTTTCTTTCTTAAAGAACTGTAAACCCGTAGGGATATACATAAATACTCCAGTGAGTGAATTTATAAAATTTAATCCTAAAATAAAATCATAAGTACTAGGAATATTGTTAATTACATAGGTTTATGGTAACACAAATTTTTTATTATTAATTAATATGGGAATATTCTGAACACAATGAGTTATTGGTAGTTTTTCATTATTATATTGACCCATATTAACATTATAATTTAATTTTATTAATGCTTCCTCCGGTACTAAATGTTTTTGAATTATGCTTTTAGATACTCCAGTATCCAACATAACTGAAGTTTGGATTAATTTTTCTTTAAATTCTAATGTTACTGGAAATTGGATTAAACTAAAGGGCTTATATAAGGAATTTATAGATTCAACTAATGTATTTTCTAACTTATTTTCGTATTTATTATAACATGCGTAACATAATAGGTTTTTACAATGGTCTTTACAATAATATCCTTCTTTAATAAAAGAGCTACATTGTTTACAGTTGTATTCGGAGAAATAAAATTTAACTAACTCATAATGACATGAAGAATTGCTTATAGTGCAAATATAATCTTCAATAGAATGAAGTCCTTGTTCAATATCTTCATCATCTTCACAGTCAATACTTTATATACTATATATGCTTTCATTATCATCATCGGAATCATAAACGCTTTCTAATTCATATAACTCTTCTATCTATTCCTCAATATCCTCTAATATGTTAATTTTCTCTTGTATTTGCTTAATAGGGTTCTACTTATATCTATAAGGGCAATTTGGTCTTATATGACCTGGATCTCCACAAATATAACATTTGCACTTTCATTCCTTTGTGGGTAGTGTATTAACTTTATTATCTTTATTGTCTT